TTCTCTCCCAACAAGAACTTGCTCAAAATGCACAAGCCTTATAGCAACTGAAAAATGAACAATATAGATGATCGATATCAGATTCTTTTTAGCTTATATGATAAGCGATTGGACAGTGAAAGGGCAACAAGGCCTAATAAAAGAAGAATGAAAAAAGAATTGGCATTTAGGGCAAATAAAGCATATAAAATGAAAATGGAAATTGCATCTTGGACATGTTTGATGTAGGGGTATTTCCACTGTGCTCAGATACATGGGAACATGACAGTAAAAAATAACACAAAGGAACAATATGAAATGTAAGAACAGTGTTTTGCAAAGAATATTTGTTATAACAGACCCTCTTTTCTTGAATACCATACAGGAACATACATAATAAGTAATGGCTATTTTTTGTACTTGACTTTCTAATTTTTAAATAATCATATTGATAGGAAGTTGAATAAAATAGTATAGCAAGTCCTATGTATAACTCATCCAGTTTCCCCCAATAACATTACTTAGGTATAGTTTAATATCAAAACCAGGATTGACATTGATATTTACACCTTATTCAGATTTTCCAGTTTTAAATGCACTCATTTGTGTGTTTTTCTCTATGCAATTTTACCACCTGTATAGATTTATGTATCATCATCACAATCAAGATACAGACTATTCTATTACCACAAAGATCCCTCATGCTACTGCTTTACAGTCACAACCATCCTACTCCCCCAACACCATTCTAATGCCTGGCAACCACTAATCTGTTCTCCATCTCTATAATTTTGTCGTTTTAAGAACGTTATATAAATAGAACCACATGGTTGCTACATGTAGCAGTGGTTTGTTCCTTTTTATTGCTGCATAGTATTCCATATTATAAATATAGCACTTTGTTTAACCATTCACTGACTGAAGGGCATTTGAGTTGTTGCCAATAAAAAGATACTTGTTTTAAACATAGTTATTCTATAATAACCAAGCTTCTTTCCCAAGAGGAATTTTAAAATGAGGGCTTTATGTTCATTTAAGCCATAGCTTTGCATACATATACAGAGATTTTTTTTCCCCTTCCCACATTGAAATTAAATCCCAAAGCTTCCCTTTCCAGTGGGGGCTAATGCAGCAAGGTAAATTTGCAGTTAGTTAAACTTCCATCTTATACTGTAAGGTGATATTTTGTACCAGTTATGGGACTTCTTTCATGTATAAGATAGGTTAGTAAAGTTAATTGTACAACTACCTCACAAAAATAATTTATATCCATCACTGATCAAACTAAAGTTGGAAGAAATCAAATTATAGTACTTTAAACTCTTAGACAAGACAATATCAAATTATTGTCTTTCAAGAAGAAAGATCAAGAATAAAAACAAATGTAGTTTATTTCCCATGATTAATTTCTTTTGGAGAGGAAGTAGTGTCAAGGAGTTGTAGATGAAAACATTAGTCAAGAAGGCTATAAAAACAGTAATTTGAATATACTATGTGGTCTAATATCTTGAAATAAGGCTTAAAACCTTACAACTTGCCTAGCAGTGAGCTTATAAGTAAATTTTTTTTTAAAGTCACAAATTTACATTTTAGAAGGTACAGAAAGAATAACACCAATCATAAAGTGTAGGCATTCAAATGGGAAAAAAAATTTAAGTTAATAGGCATGTGTGGAGACCAAGAAGGTAAGAAAAGGGAAAATATTAAAGGATAAAACCTGGGAATAAAAAGAAAAACTACTTGAAAATTAGGTAGAGAACTAGCTTTGACCCCAGATTAAATAACATCTCATTTCAACCATCAGGTAATAACTAATTGAATTGAATTCTGGAAAAATACACATGTTCACACTTTTATCAGGAACAAGCTAATTTGCTTAATTATATAACATATACTTATTGAGAAGCAAAGTTAACTTAAAATTTTCTTTGATTTTTGCACATGTCTGTACTATCAGTAAACATTATCAGAATTCAGAGATTAATTGGGAGATTATTTTACCTTTTTTTAAAAAAGGTTACTATTATATGGAGAAGAAACTGACACACTCCTTTCTCTTTAAGATAACTATCTTGTTTAGTTATCTTAAGTTATAAAAAATAAGTTATCACTGTATGCAGGTGTCACTATAAAGACAAGAGTATTGATTCTGTGGTTTGGAGCTGTAAGAACTATTTAACTGCCATTTGCAACCACACCTCTGACACAGACTGCCCAACATATTTACAAAATATCATGAGAGTGAAATTTCCTAAATCAAGTAGCAACAATGTTTATTATTGTAACATTTTCAAGAATGGAAAAAATAAAACATCAACTTTCAGTGCTTCTTTATTTTGAGGAATTAACATTAACTCAAATGGGTATAATCAGCTATTCTAAAGGGCAAGTACAAGAAAATCTCTTTTATTACTTGGCAAAGCATGATAATGCTTACCTTCTGCATAATAACTTGAAAAAGCTTATTTCAATTTCATAAAATTTTCTACTGCGATTGTCATGTAAGTCTCTTGAAGAAGCATCCAACTGTACTGGGTTCAATAAGTTGGGAAGTCTGCCATAACATTATGTCCCTCAGCTCACTAGTCAGCATAAGGTGCAGCTGCCTTGAGCCCTGGCCAGACATTACTGTCAGAAGACTTCATAATAAAATTGTTTTCATGCTAACCTTAAATTTGTCCAACTGTACAAACTCCAAGGACACTGTATGGGATAATCAATTTCTCACATAGCTTTAACTTTGAAAATGGCTAGCTGCAGCCCAGGTGGTGTGGCTCAGTGGTTGAGCATTGACCTATGAACCAGGAGGTCACTATGATTGATTACAGGTCAGGGCACATGCCCAGATTGCGGGCTCAATCCCTAGTGTGGGGCATGCAGGAAGCATCCGATCAATGCGTCTCTCTCATCATTGATGTTTCTCTCTCTCTCTCTCTCCCTCTCCCTTCTTCTCTGAAATCAATAATAAAATATATGCTGTATAAAAGAAAATGGTGAGCTGCAAACTGCCATTTAAGTCACTTTATAATGAAAACCCCCACAGTACTCCTCACTAACAGAACATTTCTGAGGCTGCAACACCTAGTGTGAATGAAAAAAATTTTATTCTCTTAGTATGCATGAAAATAGCAACAGTTAATATTTAATCATAAATACTATGTGTTAGGCACCATGCTACTTTATCTCTAGACTTCACAACTCCATGAGTTAAGATTACCACCCCCATTTTGCAGATGAGGAAACTGAACTGAGGCTCATAGAAGAGTCCCACCGCTAGCAAGAGAATGCAGAAGCCTCCTATATTTTTATCAGCCCTTCTCTGTACATAAGGCACATGAGATCTGAAAGCATCGATTATATAATTTATTAGTTAACCCACAAGTTTTAGAAAATGCGAGGCTGAGCTATGTACGCTGTGCCTACTTCGTGGGGAACTGAGGGGCCTTACCTTTCAGAGTTTATGCATTCCGTTTTTAAAAGTGTAACATATCCAAATTTCTCCCAGGCCCTGACTAGGGATCTATGCCAATTCTGTATCTAGGTGTATTAATTATGGAATATGGAAGATCATTAAACCAGTATAATTTTCTCAAAACACTGAAAATATTGTGTAACATTTAGTCAAAACTCAGATATTTCTTCAGAACCCAAGTTTATGCTGGTAATAAGCCTCAGAAGTAGGCCTAGAATTTTACCACTCATTACAGACATGTCTACGATAAATTATAGAATCCACTGTTCGAAGACATATTTACCCAGGCAAAAAAGCAAGGAGTGAAAAGATGAGTACTCAATGTGTGAGAAGAAGCTATTTGGCCTCAAATATGGCCAAATATGCCAACTTTTGTTAAACTTAGGTGTGTCCACTTACTCTAATCACACCAGAATCCTACTATATTAAATATGACATCGGTCTTACTATTTCAAATATTATACATAGGTGGGCTTCCCGTTTGACTTTATCCTTTCATTACCTAAAAGTTCTTTTAATCAATGACATTTAAGCTAAAAGCAAAGGGTTTCTTCAGAATTACAATTAGGCAAAACCATATATGTATATATATATATCACACACACAATTTTCTTTTCTGTTAGACAATCTTATTAGAAAAAAATCATCTGTTATTATTTACTACGCCTTACTCTTTTACAAAGTACCTCTTCACCTTTTACTTAGTTGACTTGCTATCCCGGGTCAACTAGACACGAGGCATGATAGCCTCAACAATCGAAGTTTCTCTAAGAAAGCAAGGTCAAAGAACAGAGGCACCTTCGCACCCAGGAACATAAAAAAGAGAACGACAAAAAACTTCACACACACCGGGCTTCGGGGGACATCCTATGGCTCAGCCATAACGCGTGTAAATCTGATCCCCGGAGTGCGGGGCACTGACAGTCATTCAACTTTCTTTTCGATCTCCCCATTGTGCTTGTCCTGGCACTACAGGCAAGATGTACCGACACTTCACCAAATGCCTTCTCTGCTGTCTAAACATTCTCGCGGCGCCAGGCCGGGGTCCGCGGCCATGGGGCGGGCCGGGCAGCCGGGGGCAGCGGCGGCGGCGCCAGAGAGAACCACGCGCGGCACCCGTTCCCGGCAGGCCTGCTGCGGCTGGTTCCCGAGCCTCCGGGGCTGCAAGGGCCGCGGTAGCAGCCATGGCAGGGACGAGGGAACCTTTCCCCTGCCTCCTCCGCTAGGCCTCGAGGGGTTTGCTTTTCACATGGCCCCCGGTTGGGGGCGGTGGGCAGCAGGTAGTGGATGCAGCTGCACCCGCAGCGGCGGGCCGGGAGAGCCGGGCTCCCTCGGAACCCGACCTGCTGGTGGGCTGGCATCAGGCACCTCGGCGGGGCCTGGCTGGAGGCCGACGGCTCGGTGGGGAAGGCCACCTTCTCTCTCACACACCACATCTCTCCCCAGCCTGCCTCCTTCTCCGTTAGCGCTACCGGTTGGCCGGCGGGGGAGGGGAGCGAGGCGCGTTATTCCCGGGGAACTGGAAGGGGGAGGGGACGGCATCACTTACCCGCGTTACTGAGGAGGAGGAGGCGGTTGGAGCGCGGCGCGGCGGGGCGGCGGCGGGGCTGGGTGGGTGCAAGTCAGAGTCTTACGAAAGGGAATTAACCCCATCACCAGCCCGGACACCGGCTCCAGCGGCAGCCGCGGCTGGCAGAACCCGCCCCTTCCCACCACGTACTAGCTCCGCCTATTTGTTCTCTTTGAGGGCAGTCGACAAATCATAGGCTGCATACCCTCGGAGTGACATGATGATCATCCAATCACGCCTAGACAAACGGCCTTCCCTCCACCCCTTTATCTCCTCCTGGGCCGCGGGAGAACCGTGCCAAGTCTTCCTCCACCCTCAAGGGACAAGGGACCAATCGGAGATTAGTATCCGCCCTTGAAGGACGCAAAGGGTAACCAATGGAAAAACTAAGAGGACAGCCATTTTGCCCACTTGAAAAAGAGCCACCTTTTCCCACGAGTTGGAGCCTGAGGTGGGGGAGTTGTGGGAGTTTTCCCTGACCTGGAGATATTGGAAAGACAACCATTTTTTCAAGGAGCATTTATAATGCTTTGTAGGAGTAAAATAAAATTTTCATCCTCCATGTGGGGAGATGAGAGGAACGCTGCTTAAAAGCTTGACTCCTCCCCTTAGCGCTAACGGGTTCTAAGCCGAACACCTGGTTTCTCTAAGGAAGGCGGGGTGATTGCCCTTCATGATCTAGAAGAGCGAACTACACTTCCCAACATGCTTTGCTCCCGCTCAATCCTTTTCTCAGTTTACTTCCCTCGGCAGCCTGACGGGAATTGTAGTTTTGGGGAGGGATCCAGGTCGCCTCCTTGACCAATAAGAAGGGACAAACTTTTGAATAATTTGGAGTTTGGGGAGGAGAGCTAGTTGACTTGAGCCTGCAGTGAATCGGTTTCACCGCTGTAACGGAAGAGATAAGGGATAGAAGAGCAAGGTAGAGCAGAGTTTTCTCAAAACACCATAGCTGGTGTCGATTCCTGGTGTTTGAACTGCTACTTTCAGTTTGCCCCTTTGAAGTCACTTCCGCTTTGGGCGGATACAAGCCAAACGTGTGGCGGGAGTTGGAGATTCTTCAGCGAATACACCAGGTGTGGCCGTCTGGGAGTGGGATGGCGGGCAAGTCGGTAGTTTCTTGCGTGAGAAATAGAAAATGGAACGTAATTTAATTGCATTTTAAGAAAGAGTGGGTGAGATGGGGTAGGGGTAGTTCCTAAGTCCATAATGCCTCTCTAAACCCAGCCTTCAATCCCAGAGTCCCATTTTTCTTGTGTTTGGACTTGCTCACTATTGCACGCATTTATTTGTTGTGGGGGCCTCTAATGCCTTTAGCCGCTGTCGGTACGCACGGCTTAATGCCATCAGTTTGACGAAAAAACCGGCTCTGAAGTTCTGAGCTAACTCCTTCCACTTTTACAAACGTCTGAAGACTAGTTCAAAGGAAAAATGTTCCAGAAGGGTTCAGGATTGATCCTAAAAAATGGTGACTTTACCTTGTTGTCGCTGAGTAAAGCATACACGTGGCGACAGGTCCAACTGTAATACACTGATGAATAAAGATATTTATGTACTTTGGAGCCCATAGCCTAATTTTAGCACATTAGGCTCTGGTTTATGCCCCGCTTCGGATGCAAAATTGAGTGTATTTTTTGCTGTTTGACGTTTCCTTTGAGTTACCTTGGGAAATTCATTGAATTAAGAAGACGCAGGAGGAAAGAGAAGATTTTTCCTCCCCAAGACTAAACTCATTTCTCTATCATTTGACTAAGACTTTCTCAGATAAATTCTAAGTTTTCCCCAGGGTCTCATTGAGACTTACTTTTATAAACAATCTTGTAAATATTTATTTAGCACTTATACTGTATTAGGCACTATACCAGCCTTTGGGGATAAAGCAGTGCCAAAAAGACAGGCATTCTTCTTTGTCCAAAAGTAGTGAGGAAGACAAAGGCCAAAGAAAATTAGAGGTAATGTTTTGTTTAATATTTTTAAAAAATTATTTCAGAGAGGAAGGTAGAGGGAGAGCTAGAAACATCCATGATGAGAGAAAATCAGGAGTAGGCTGCCTCCTGCACGCCTCCTACTGGTGATGGAGCCAGACACCCAGGCATGTGTCCTGACCAGGAATCCAACCATGACCTCTTGGTTCATGGGTCTGTGCTCAACCACTGAGCCACATCGGCCAGGCTACTAATTTTTTAATCTCTCTAAATCAAGTTTTCATTAGTCATGTTTTGTGTATTCATTCTGTCACCTCTTTCCATTCTACCTGTGTATTAAAGTAAGCATATTTTCTCCCCTTTTTTTTAACTGAAGCACTAAAAAGTCTTTGTCTAATACTCATAAGTTGTTTATGCACCAACTAGATGGTAAATTTTATAGTTAACTAGAGGCCTGGTGCACAGAAATTTGTGCACTAGGAGGGCGGGGGGGGGGGGGGGGGAGTCCCTCAGTCCAGCCTGTGCCCTCTCGCAGTCTGGGACCCCTCGGGAGATAACGACCCGCTGGCTTAGGCCTGCTCCCAGGTGGCAGAGGGCAGGCCCAATCCCTAGGTGCAACCCCTGGTCGGGCTCAGAGCAGGGCCGACTGGGGAGTTGGGGCACCGCCCCCTGTCATGCACAGAGCAGGGCGGATCGGGAGGTTGCGATGCCACCCTCAGTCACGCTCAGGGTAGGGCCGATTGGGGGGTTGGGGCACCGCCCCCTGTCACACTCAAGGCAGGGTCGATGGGGAGGTGCGGCGGCACCCCCTGTCACACACAGAGCAGGGCCAATCGGGGTTCGGGCGCTGCCCCCTGTCACGCACAGAGCAGGGCCCATCAAGGGGTTGGGGAGCTCCCCCCTGTCACGCACAGAGCAGGGCCAATAGGGGAGTTGGGGCACCGCCCCCTGTCACACACAGAGCAGGGCAGATCAGGGGTTGGGGCGCCGCCACTGTCACACTCATGGCAGGGCCGATGGGGAGGTTATGGCTCTACCACATCACACACAGAGCAGGGCCCGTGGGGGGAGGTGTTGGGGAGCCGCCCTCTATCACCCACAGAGCAGGGCTGATCAGGGGGTTGGGGCGCCACCACTCTCACACTCAGGGCAGGGCTGATGGGGAGGTTATGGCTCTACCCCATCACACACATAGCAGGGCCCATGGAGGAGGGGTTGGGGCGACTCACCCTGTCACACACAGAGCCGCAGGGCGATCAGGGGGTTGGGGAGCTCCTCCCTATCAGGCACAGAGCAGGGCGGATAGGGAGGTTGTGGCCCTGCCCCCTGTCACACACAGAGCCGCAGGGCGATCTGGGGGTTTGGGCGCTGCCCCCTGTCACGCTGATCCCGGTGCCAGGAGGCATATTACCCTTTTACTATATAGGATAGAGGCTTGGTGCATGTGTGCGGCCGGCTGGTTTGCCCTGAAGGGTGTCCTGGATCAGGGTGGGGGTCCCCACTGGGGTGCCTGGCCAGCCTGGGTGAGGGGATGATGGCTGTTTGCAGCTGGTCACACACCCTTCAGGGTGGGGGTCCCCACTGGGGTGCCTGGCCAGTCTGGGTGAGGGGCTGAGGGCTGTTTTCAGGCTGGCGGGTGACTGAAGCTCCCAACTGCTCCTTCTTTTCTTTTTCTTTTTTTTTATTCTGGGCCAGCTTTACCTCTGGCTCCAGCTCTGAGGCCTCTGCTGCTGAACGCAGGTATCTGGTTTGTTTGGGTTCTATAATCGAAAAACTGTATCAACTCCAGCTCTGAGATCCCGGCTGGCTGAAAGCAGGTTTCTGGGGTTTTGTTTAGCTTCTATATTTGTAACAATGTTTCAAACTGCAAGCTGAGAGGCCAGCAGTGGCAGGTGGGGAACGTTGGAGTCCTCTGTCACTGAAGCAAGCAAGCCTCATGTTACCTTCAAGCTGCCTGGCGGCTGTCCGCCATCTTGGCTGGCAGTTAATTTGCATATCGCCCTGATTATCCAATGGGAAGGGTAGCGGATGTATGGCTAATTACCATGTTTCTCTTTTATTAGATAGGATGCTTCTAGAAATAGGGATATAACCATACCTTTCAGCCAAACAGTGTTGTCTCTCTTTTTTTAATGCAGTTGGAATTTTAGTATATTTAGAAGTATAGACTTCTATAGATGATTAGTTCTTGTTTTGTGAGCTCTTCCAGTGTAAATCAAGTTAATAAGTGGTAATGACAGCCAGCATTTTATTGAGAGTTTCCTCTGAGCCGGGAATGATGTTAAAGTGGTTTATGTAAAATGTTCCCTGCAATTCTATAAGTATTGTTACGTGATATTTATAGTTGAAGAAATTGGGACTCAGTGAAGTTCAATAAGACTTGAAGTCCTTGACCAATAAATTTTGGAGCTGAGATTCAAATCCAGGTCTGTCTCATTACTGAGCTCTTGACCACTGCTCATCCTGCCTCTCAAATAATTATTAATCTCCCAATATATGCCAGATACATAATGAGAGAAATGTAAAATTCCACCCCAGCATTCTGGAACCAATGGTGGCAGTCCCTTCTTCTTGTGAACTATCCTTTGCCACTCATAAAATACATATTCATTGTACTTAAAAACAAAGGAAAATAAAGGTAATCTGTGATCTTAGTACCCAGAGATATCACTGTTATATTTTGGTGAATATCCTTACAGATATCTCCCTCTTATAGGTGCAGACATGTATGTATGGTATCATACTACTTTGCTATTTTGTAAAAAAAATTTTTTTAAAACTTTGTAAGAGTTTATTTGAGCCAAACTGACAACATATGCTAGAAAGCAAGATCTCAAATGCTGACCTGTAAACTTTTTTTTAACTTACAATAGGCTGTGGATATGACTGAATAAATATTGATATTATAATTTTTTATGGCTATCTGGTATTTCACTGTATGTTTCTAATATGATCAGTTCCCAGGTAATGGATATTGATATTTTTATTGATTTTTTTTTCATTCTAAAAAAAACATAAAATTTACCATCTTAACCATGTTATATTGTTACAGATGTCCCCCCTTCCCCCTAACCTCCACCTCCACTTTGCCCCACCAACTCTGCTCTCCCCAGTGTATATAATACAGTTGTGTTAAGTGTATGCACCTGTCAGGCAACAGATTTCTGGAACTTTTTCATCTTACAAAACTGAAACTCTGCTCATTGAACAACAACTCCCCTTTTACCCTCCTACAGCTCCTGGCAACCACTATTCTACTTTGATTCTAAGAGTTTGACTACTTTAGATACCTCATATAAATGGAATCATGCCCTAACCGATTTGCTCAGTGGATAGAGCATCGGCCTGTGGACTCAAGGGTCCCAGGTTCGATTCCGGTCAAGGGCATGTACCTTGGCTTTGGGCCCATCCCCAGTAGGGGGCGTGCAGGAGGCAGCTGATTAATGTTTCTCACTCATCGATGTTTCTCTCTATCCCTCTCCTTTCCTCTCTGTAAAAAATCAATAAAATATATATTAAAATTTTTTTTTTTTAACATATTTCATTGATTTCTCACAGAGAGGAAGGGAGAGGGATAGAGAGCCAGAAACATCCATGAGAGAGAAACATGGATCAGCTGCCTCCTGCACACCCCCCACCGGGGATGTGCCCGCAACCAAGGCACATGCCCTTGACCAGAATCGAACCCGGGACCCTCGAGTCCGCAGGCCGAAGCCCCATCCACCGAGCCAAACCGGTTCTGGCTATTAAAATTTTTTTTAAAAAAATATAAATAAATAGGTAAATGGAATCATGCAGTATTTGTCCTGTAACTGTCTTATTTTACATAGTATCATGTACTCAAGGTTCATCCATGTTGTAAAATATGACAGAATTTTTTTTAAGACTGAATAATAGTTCATTGTATTTTATTTATCCATTCATCTGCCAATGGACATTTAGATTTTTTCCACCACTTGTTATTATGAGTAACTAGAGGCCTGGTGCATAAAAATTTGTGCACTTCGGGGGGGGGGGTGGGATTCCCTCAGCACAGCCTGCACCCTCTAGTAGTCTGGGAGCCCTTGGGGGATGTCCACCTGCTGGCTTAGGCCCACTTCCCGGAGATTGGGCCTAAGCTGGCAGTCAGATATCCCTCTGGCAGCCCAGGA